GCTGTAGCCCATCCGCCTGCCTCAAGGTTGGACGTGTTGTGTGTTCAGAGATGCTCTTCTGCAGACCTCGGTTGTAACGAGTGCTTATTTAAGTTACTGTTGCCTTTCTATCAGCTGGAACCAGTCTGGCCATTCTCCTCTGACCTCTGGCATCTACAAGGCATTTGCGCCCACAGAACTGCCGCTCACTGGATATTTTCTCTTTATCTGGCCATTCTCTGTAAACCCTAGAGACGGTTGTGCGTGAAAATTCCAGTAGATCAGCAGTTTCTGAAATACTCAGACCAGCTCGACCGAAAAACAAAAAGAGTATGACACGTCTTACTAAAAAGTGATTCGAAGGACTCACCTTTGAAGTTTGCATTTTTCGGAGGATGCAGCCTCTGAAATGAGACACAGCTATTGCCTTCCATAGTATTTGTTTTTTCTCTGCTATGGATGAGCGTGCTAACATTTTATAAAATATCTTCTTTTGTGTTGAACTGAATTAAGAAACTCATAAAGGTTTGAAACCACTTGAGGGAAAGTAAATAGTGAGTACATTTTCATTTTTGTGTGAACTATCCTTTTTTCTCACCCTAACCAGCCTTCAGCTGAAAGGCCTGTTCATACCAATAATTCACACCCCCATTTGCTTTTATGTGGAAAGAAAATGACATATCATCGGTCGAATCCAAAATGGACACACAATGAACAAAAAAATGTCATTTGATTATCAAGTCAAGTTTTTTTGGTGTGAACGGGTCTTAAAAGTCTCTTGATGTTTTTCGTTTGTGATGTAATTTAACTTGAAAACATGATGACAGGGTGGGGCTATATCACATAGCTCCTCCCCATTTATTATAAGCAACCAATTAGCCTTTTGTTTACATCATAGTTCTTGTCAGTCAGAATCTTTGAGCTGTGCATCAGACTTATACGCCACAGTCTATAATAGAAAAGTCTGTAGTGTAGAAGTGTAGAATAAAAATGAGTGTGTTTCTGTGCCTGAGAAGACAGTTTGTGTCACAATACTGCTGATTGTGTAACACTAATGCAAACCAGACTTCATTTACCTCAAAGGAAAGCTTATTTTATCCTCTCTGAATCATTATCCCCTCCCCTAGTGTGTCGTTGACCCTCTAGGAAATTTTACTTGTGTTTAACAAATTAAGTTAATTTATAAACTAATTTCGAGAGGAGCTCATGCTCATGATTGAGTGTAGCCGGTCTCGCATTAGCTAATGTATGATCCACCAATCAGAACTCACTATAAATAAGCAGAACGTCTTACCTTAACCATCTTCGTGTTGAAGAATCCCCCCTTCCACCCCTACTCCTTCCCCTTTTCCTTTGACAGAGCGACACGGCAGCCCAGGGATTAGCACTGTTGCCTCACAGCAAGAATGTCACTGGGTCAAGTCTTTACCAGGCCAAGTTGACATTTCTGTGTGGAGTTTACATGTTCTCTCACAAGCAAGACATGTGACATAAGTAAATTGACCAAACCAAATCGACACCATATAAGAAAGAGCACTTAATCAGTAGTATATCTATCCACAGTAATTCCTTATTCCTATTCGCCATAACAAGCAGGGGAGTTTACGAGACCTACCTGAGCTCAAACTCTCTTCTCGCCCTAAAACGGGATCTCATGAGCTCAGGGCTTTCTCCCAGGAGCATGCCAAACACGCTCTATAACCAATCATTAGCTAAGGGTGAACTCTTGAAACTTAAAGTTGAGTGTCTTAGTTTCCTGTTTACTGATTGTTTATTGTTTATGTAATAAATTACATTTATTCAGCGTTCTACACCAATATATCTGTAATAAATTACATTTGCATGCTTTGTTTATTCTCCACAAATAAACAGGTAGCAGAGTGCTCTCATATCTACACTATTATTACTGTAGTAAATTAGCTCAAGGTTATTCTTCCCGCACCTTTCCCGCCGTTATAATGCTGCGAGTTATGATTCAGATTTCAAGGCTCGTGTACCTTCTGGAACATTATATAGCGGAATAGCTTAGCGGGAGGAAGATTCATTTGAACGGGGCTTCAAATGAATCGACTCTTTTGATCCAAACAAGCGAATCGTTCAGCGATGCTATCAACATAAAATTTGAGCAGGGTAGCAAGATCAAAGTTCAAGACATTAGATTCATTAATATACACAGGCACCTTTCTTTATACAAAATTAAACTTTATTGACTAATCTAACAAATACCAACACCTAACACAAACACAAATTCATACAAGCATAGGGGAGAGTAACAAACGTGAAGAGGTTGAGAAGATGTAATGATGGGAAAATGAGTCTGTAAGAACAGACCACTATGAGTATTATCCACTATCATATTAACCACTATCATATTACTATGAGTCTGTAAGAACAAACCAAGCAACCAAACGTAATCAAATTCAATATAACCCTTCTATTGTCTCTTTAGGGTTAATTTAGTTCACACCAGTTTAGATGTTGGGAGAAAGGTGATACTTGCGGTCTGTTCGTGATGTCCGAGCTCCCGTTGTTAAGCACGTGGTTGGTTGGCTGATCTTTGTTCCTCATGAGGTTGTTGTTTCAAGTTGAAGCGGCAAAAAGCATTCTGGGCGGTGAAATGTCCGAGCGCGGTCCGATTAACCCTTTCTGTCTGGGTTTCTGCCTGCTTTCTTGGAGGTTTCTATACTTAGGTTTGTTGTATAGAGTTGAAGAAGGTTTCAAAACAGAGTGTTTGAAGAAAGTATCCCAAGAGAGGTCCCAGGACAGTTTGAACAGAGAGAGTTGTAAAGAAGAGGAAGAGCGGGGGATTCCAAGAGAGGGAGTTTAGCTTGGTTTTCAACTTTTATAGGGCAGGTTCGGATCCACCCTCCATGGAAAGTTGACCAATTAGAAGCTAACTTCCTGGAATATTAAATTTATGGGTCTTTGTCCGAGGCAGAATAATTTGCATAGGCAAATTTTATGTAAATCGGGACAAAAATGTTAAAGTCTTTTAAAACATTAATATGTTGCAGTCATATTAAAATAAACTGTCAACGATCAAGTTGTACAGCGAGTAAGCTTTTCGAAAAGTCCAAACTTGAACAGTATAAGAGGATGCTTAGCCTAGGTACAGTTAAACATTATATGCAAGGGTATTAAAACCAAAAATATTAATACAAGAGAAAGGGAAACTTTGCAAAACATATGATTAAACATAAAGAGTAAAGTTTATATGAAAGCAGTGTTAAACAGCAAATAGTCCTTTGTAAGTCATTCCTGTGCTTAGAGCCGCATGGCACATTCCTTTGGGTCGTAAATACCTTGAAATCAGGTTTCGAGCCTTCTCTGGGCAAAGTTGGCTGGTTGTGGAATAAAATGCAAAATGTTTATGTGTCTGGTCGGCCATATTCGTTACATTTATGTGTGTGTGAAATAGTAATGAATCAACATGTAATTCCTGATGCAATTGAGCAAATCTCCTGTCCATATGCACCAGACACTTTCTCATCAGCACTTACTGGGTCTCATTCTCTAACCATGTGTACACATAAAGGTATGCGTCAAATGTGCGTACAGACATTTTCACCATTAAATTAGGATTCATCAAAACTTTTGTGCTATAATTTATTCTAAATCTGAAGAAATATTCAAGAACAACTTAAACAACTAAAACTACAAATAATTTCCCATGAATCCACAGCATTTTTTATTTATCTACAGCGGGGGAAATAAGTATTGAACATGTGATGTTTTTTTTCCCTGGGATTAATATTTCTAAAGGAGCTATGGACATTTAATTGAACCAGGGTTTGAGAAAAACCCAAACAATACAAACAACAAAACAAATCTGAAAGATGAGTTGTGTGTAATAACAGTTAAATGACAGAAGGAGAAAGCACTGAACTACTGAAACATATTTAACACTGTTTATAAAAGGCTTTGTTGGTGATGGCTGCTTAAAGACGTCTCTCTTATGGAGAATGAAGTCACATGCATAGCTCGGGTGAGTTCCTCACACAGACTTTAACAGAGTGTCAAAATCTTGATGTTCTGTGGGTCTCGTCTATCAAATCTGAGCTTTATTTTGTGTTTTTTATTGGATTCGCATCAGGTGATTGGCTGGGCCATTCTACAGCTTTGATTTTCTTTTTCTGAAAGCATTTGTAAGTCTCCTTGGCTGTGTTTTGGATCATTGTCTTGCTGAAATGTTCACCCTGGGTTTGTCTTCATCCTCCTGCTAATGTAGATGTTGGACTGAAGCAGCTGATATTCATTTACACTGAGGAAGGGCAGAGGCTTGCTGAAGAACTACTGAGAGATTTCAGCTGCTGTCTGGGCTTTCATTGCCGGAATACAGCTCTCTTTCTTCATGTGTTCAATACTTTTTCCCTGCGTCATTTCATTTTATTTAGCATGACTTAATTTGTAAACCAATTAGATTTGTTTTTTATGCACATGTGGATTTATTTGCTTGTTGCCAACATCTTAGATTTCAAGTCAACGACAACTTTAGAAATATGTTTTCTGAGAATAATGGTGACGTGTTCAATACTTATTTTCCCGCTGTGTATACAGTTAAGGTCAGAATTATTAGCTCCTCTGAATTATTAGACCGCTTGCTTATTTTTCCCCAATTTCTGTTTAACAAAGAGAAGACTTTTTTTAACACATTTCTTATCATAACAGTTTTAATAACTCATCTCTAATAACTGATTTATTTTATGTTTGTCATGATGACAGTAAATAATATTTTAGTAGATATTCTTCAAGACACTTCTATACAGCTTAAAGTGACATTTAAAGGCTTAACTAGGTTAATTAGGTTAACTAGGCAGGTTAGGGTAACTAGGCAAGTTATTGTATAATGATGGTTTGTTCTGTAGATTATCGAGAAAAAATATAGCTTAAAGGGGCTAATAATTTTGTCCCTAAAATGGTGTTTAAAAAATTAAAAACTTAATTTATTATAGCCGGAAAAAAAACAAACAACACTTTCTTCAGAAGAAAAAATATTATCAGACATACTGTGAACATTTAATTGCTTTGTTAAACATCATTTGGGAAATATTTAAAAAAGAAGGAAAAAAATTGAACGGGGCTAATAATTCTGACTTCTACTGTATATATAAATTCTGCACGAAAATAGCAAAAAAAGTCTGCAGATTCTATTTGTCTATGACTTATAACATTATGATAGCAACACCCACAGAACTGTACTTGCGATTGCAGGGGGACTCTTATTGTGAAGAACTCATTAACCCAGACACCTTTTTTTATGTGTGACTCAGTGATGTATGATCTCTTATGATCTGATTGAACCCTTTGACGTGTGTGTGTGTGACGTGTTTGTGTCTGTGTATAATGTTAGTAATTGCTGCCGTTTTGAAGGAGTCTGGTTTCTATGGCGACTCACTGTCGTGTTGCATTAGAGAACGAGTGCAAGAAATAGAAACACATCGACATGACAAATGATATTTTACACTACAGGGGTCACAAACTGCCTTATTTTTTATTGTGTTCTGTTCTCTGAAAGCAACATGTAGAGAAGTAAAAGGCTATTTTCCTTCCTGTTTTGACCTCCTTATCTGAACACCATTTTAATGAATTGTAGACCCAGAAGTAAACACTCACTGGTATGATTTACTTACAGTTTTCAGAGTCAGGGATGAAAGCTTCTGAAACTTCATGTTGAAGACACAGTTATTATTATCATGTGAAATCTGTATTATTTTCCCAATATTTCCCAAGTGCTGTTTAACAGATGTTGCCTCACTTTTTAAAATATAATAGTTTTAAAAACTCATTTCTAATAACTGATTTATTTTATCTTTGCCATGATGACAGCACATAATATTTGACTTGATATTTTTCAGGACACTAGTATTCAGCTTAAAGTGACATTTAAAAGCTTAACTAGGTTAAGTAGGCATGTTAAAGTAATTAGGCAAGTCTTTGAATAACAGTGGTTTGTTCTGCAGACAATCCAAAACAAATATTGTTAAAGGGGGCTAAAATTATTGACCTTAAAATGGTGTTTAAAAAATGAAAAACTGCTTTTATTCTAGCTGAAATAAAACAAATAAGAAGAAAAAATATTATAGCAAATACCGTGGACATTTCTGAATCTGTTTATCATCATTTGGGAAAACATTTGAAAAACTTCACATGAGGGCAAATCATTTTGGCCTAAACTGTATACTGTATCAGTAGGAGTTTTACTGTTATGATTCGTCTTTAAACTATTAATAAGACAATTAATTCATGTTATTTTCATCTCTAGAGTGCTTCTTGTCCATTCTTGATTGATCCTTCATCTCGTGCAACAGAGTGGCTGCAAACTCACCTGAAAGCTCATCGTCTGGAGGTCATAAATCAGCAGGTGAAAACACACACACGCACACATCAGAACGGTTTAATGGTAAATTTTTATTTTATGATGCAATGCAAACGCAGTTCAGCACAAACACAATTTTGGACATCTCATCATCCCATGATCATTATAAATAAGCTGTTTAATTTAATTTATATTAATTTAATTTATTTTTATTATTTATTATTTAATTATTTGTTTTATTCTATTTTAATAATTGTTTTATTCTATATTATTTATTGATTTATTTTAATTTTTTCATTTAATTTCGTTCAATTAATTAATTTATTTATTTATTTATTTTATTTCATTTATTTATAATTTTTTTATTTTATTCAATTAATTAATTAAATTAATTAATTTATTATTATTCATTTATTCATTATTTATTTTATTTTATAATTTTTTTTTCATTTATTTTTTTCAAACATTCAATTAACTAAATCATTTATTTATTTTTGATTTATTTGTTTTTTTCTGTTGATTTTAATTTAATGTAATTTTTTTATCTAATCAATTTGTTCATTTTTAATTTCATTCCATTAATTAATTTATTTATTTATTTCATTTCATTCAATTAGTTAATTAATTTTATTTATTTTTTATTATTTAATTATTTATTTATTTTATTTTGTTTTAATTGTTTTTCATTCCATTAATTAAATTTTTTTTTCATTTCATTTCATTCAATTAATTATTTTTTTATTTATTATTATTTAATAATTCATTTTTTTTATTCTATTAAATTTTTTTCATTCAAATAATTAAATAATTTATTTGTTTAATTTAAATTTTTTTTATTACTATTTAACATAATATTTTTAATTAAGTTTATTTATTTTATTAATTTTTTTCATTTTATTCCCTTAATAAATAATTTTTAATTGATTAATTAAATTACTTATTTATATATTTTTTTACCTTAAAATTATTTGATAATTTTTAATCTTGAATATCAACATGCAGTTAGATAATAATACATAATTGATAATAATAAACACTACTACTACTACTACTACTACTAATAATAATAATAATAATAATAATAATAATACTAATAATAATAATAATAATCATTGATTTAAAAAGTTGTTCAATATGATTTAAATAATTAATCCAAAATGGGTAAAACAAAAATTGTAAAACAAAAGAAACAAACATAAAACTGGATCTGTTGTTGGTCTCAGGATGCGAACTTCATGACAGTGCTGGAGTTAGCGGTGCGCTTTGGTAAAACGCTGATCATTCAGGAGATGGACGGTGTTGAACCTGTGCTTTATCCTCTGCTGCGGCGAGATCTCATTGCACAGGGTGAGTACACACACACACACACACACACACACACACACACACTGAAAACAGTAACAATACTCACAATTCAGCACTTGACAGTACAACTCTGATTTAAGGTCTTTGCACACTGAAGTCCATATGCAAGAAAAAATCATCACATGCATACCTTGCGAATTAGTCTGATGCGTAATGATGAATCCATTCTGAAAAAAACACAAAACATTTCAGAGTCAATTCAAGCAATGATTTTTTCTCCTCTCTACGCCGCACCCGGAGGAAACCCACGCCAACATGGGGAGAACATGCAAACTCCACAAACAAATGCCAACTGACCCAGCCGGGACTCAAACCAGCAACCTTCTTGCTGTGAGGCGACAGTGCTGACCACTGAGCCACCGTGCTGCGCCTGTCTTCAGTGTCACCTTTGATCAGTTCAGTGTTTAGTTTATGTAGTGTTTATGCGATATGGTAGGCTCTGATTGGTTTTCGTCTTTCCTTTTTCATTTTCAGTGAGGACTGAATTAAGTCTGATTAGATGAGGGTTTAAATGTCAATTAAACGGTGCTCTAACTCAAACACACACACACACACACACACACACACACACACACACACACACACACTCCTGTAGTGTGTTTATCCTCCTGTCCCAGCTGTATGAAATAAGAGCCGAGGGCATTTCTGAAGCTCCTCCATATGCTCTGTGTGAGTGTGTGTTTGTGCATTTGTGTGTCTGTCTGTCTCTCTGTTAGTGTGTGTGTGTGTGTGTGTGTGTGTGTGTGTGTGTGCGTGTGTGTGCGTGTGAGTGTGTGAATGTGTGTGTGTGTGTGTGTGTGTGTGTGTGTGTGTGTGTGTGTGTGTGTGTGTGTGTGTTTGTGTGTGTAGGGCAGATATGGCTGAGTCTGTCAGGACCGGCGGGAGGCAGATAAACCAGAGCTTTTCAGAGAGCAGGAGAGGGAGAGAAATTTAAGTGTGTGTACAGACTACTGCATTGCAGACATAGAGAAGACACACACACACAAACACACAAACTTCTGAAGCATCCAATCAGGGAACCCCACAAATCCTGCTCTTGTGGAAGGCGGGATTCCTCTCCAGTCTGCATTTATTAGCAGTGTTTTCATGCTCTGGTGCTGCTGTGAGGATTTGTGGCATGCATAGAATCAGTTTTTATTAGTATATTCGTTTTCTATTATAGTATTTATTACTAATATAATATTTAGAAGCTTTTATTTTTGTATGCTCCACATTTCTGTGTGTTTTATTTTAAATTTCTAGTTATTTATTATAATTTTTTTTTCATTTTAACATAATCGTTAATGGCTTATTTAATGTTTTAATGTTAATGTTATTTTCATTATTAGTATTATTATTATTGTTGTTATTGTTATTATATATATATATATACACACACACACACACACACACACAGTACGCACAATTTAGCCTACCCAATTCACCTGTACCACATGTGTTTGGACTGTGGGAGCCGTAGCATTCGAAGGAAACGCAAGGAGAACATGCAAACTCCACACAGAAATGACAACTGACCCAGCCAAGGCTCAAACCAGCGATCTTCTTGCTGTGAGGCGACAGCACCACCTACTGCGCCACTTCATCCCCTTTATGATTATTATAAATATTATTATTATATTTTATTGTTTTATATACGTTTTTAATATTTTTATTAATATATTGAGTTACAGTTATTTATTTACTATTATGGTATTTATAGATATTTAGAATATTTAACTTTTGTCGGTTTTGCTTTACATTTGTTGTAATTTATTAGATATTATTGCTATTTTTATTATTAATATATATATATATATATATCTATATATATATATATATATATATATATATATATATATATATATATATATATATATAATTTTTTTTTTATCCTAATTTTGTCTTAATTTTTTAAGGGCCATGAGACCCCCTCGTTTCAGCAGGGTGTTTTCACACCTCTACTTTGGAAAAAGTCAGAAAAGTGGGCGTGTCCAGCTCTGTTTAGGGGGGAGTGTCGGAGGAACTAAAGTGGGAGGGTGTGGGAGTGTCTATTTGGGCACGCGCGAGTTTCAGAGTCAAAATACACACAGGAGAAAGTGATGGTGTTGAACCTACATGGACATCTGTAGTGGAATTATTTGCCAAATTATTAAATGTTGGACTTTAACTGCAGTTTGGCTCTTTCATTCAGGGAATTCATTCATGTCCCTCGCGACAAACGAGATATTTGATTCGAGGAACTGCTCTAAGCGTGTATTTCTCATGCAATGTTTGATACCGCACGGTGAATGAGAGAGAAAAAAACTCAGCATTTCCCGGAAACTTAGATGCACACGGCAGGTAGCGTCAGAAAGCCGCGTG